GCACGCCACGCCACTGGTTTGCAACAGGCCCATTTGTCGAAGGCAATCCGATCGAGTTCCTTAGATGGATCGTCGCGCCGCCTGTGGTCGTCGGTTTGTGCGGCGAACTTGCACGCCTTGGAAAAAACTGATGGACGAAAATGAAAGCTAGGGTCGTTTTCGGACTCGGCACTAAATATATCGTGGAAATCAATTATCAAATCCCCATTTTTCGATATAGACCTGTATAAACGGAGACTAGGCCTCATCTTGTTTGAAAACTGTCGAAATGTACCACTTGTTTCTCGGTGAAGTCGTTATTGTAACACTGCAACAGCGCTCTAACTTCAGGGTATAGTTTTAGGAACCAACTTGGCAGATCAGCTTAATTGGACCGCGTTTAACAGCAAGGAACCAAGCCACATCAGATGTTGCCAAATTAACTGGGCAATTCAATTTTTTATGAAAGAACGTTTGTGCGTATTTTTGTGAAAATGGCAAGGAATTTGCTTCGTACTATGGAGAAAGTTCACTGAAATTTGCACGAAAATCAGCACTACCGTTTTCATGTAAAAAATTAAATTGCCCGATTCAATTTGGCAATAGTTTATGCGGCTTGGTTCCTTTCTGTTTAACTCGGTCCAATTTTTAGGTGCCATTCACGATTTTTCAGGGGCTGGATTCGTCACTGAGGCTATAGGAACGAGGGGAAAGATACAAACTGAAAGTTGTCTCAGGTTGAGTGTTGAGGTGTCGCGTCGAGAGGGTCCAAACAAGGCTACTTACGCGACTGAGGCTGATTATGCCAGGCAGTGGACGATGGGCGCTCATTAATCTAGCTCAGCCGCTCACACTTGCACTTGAATGAAAACCACGAGAGGACAACCCGGGATATTCTACTGCCGTCCACATAATACGCGCCGCTGTTCACACGGTTATGTCACACTCGAGTACATTTAAATGCCGGTCCGCCGCGGAGATGTTGAGGTAGGACTCGCTTTGAGACAAAGTCCACGGTTTCGTCTCGACAGTCGACGACCCGGCCCCGGGCTGAGAAGCGATGCGACGCCACGCGGGACCAAAAAGCTTGTTCCTCATGGTAGAGGATGTCCCCTGAGCCTCTGACTCATCCACAAATCGATCGAACGGCTTTTTTGCTGCGAGGCGCTCAGTGCTGGATGGATGCCAGGAGATTTCACCCACTTTCTGGATGCACTTGATGGAGCTCTCATCTGGCTTTATTGTGGGTGCTCACGAGTATTCCTTGGTTCTTATTATCGATTTCTATTTCTTTTCTCTGGGACTTGTGTCAGCATTCTCCCTAATTCTAAAAACTGAGAAAATGAGCCTTCTAGAAATGGTGGACATGAAATTTTCCACTGAAACTGCAAATTTTCAAATTGGTTTCTCCAAGGGTGTACGGGGTACTTTTTGAAAGAAATTTTCAGAGAAAATCAATGAAACCACTTCTAAAACCCATACCTGCCGTGCATACACTAGAGGTTTCAAGATCAGAAGATCCAATTTTATAAATAGTCCATAATTTTCAAAAAATCATCTCTTTGTGGGGGAATTGTTGGGTCCAGGAAGGGTTTTCTTTAACCAATAGCAGCTATTGAGAAACTCGCATTAAAGAGAGGATGCATCTGATTACTAAGGTATTATGACTTACGGCTGTCATGCTGAGTATCGGGCGAAAATCAAAAAAATCAATTTACCTGAAACAGAAAGAAAAAAAATACTTAGTCAAGTACAGACAATATATGGTGTCAATAATAATATGATGGTGTGTTTTTGCTCCTTCTTTTTTCCTCTGTCTTAATTCAAATGATTCTAGAAATTTGTTTTTTTCTCTATTTCCTCCTAATGAAACTTTCAGCAGTCATATTAGAATTATCGTCATCTTCCTCTGAGAGAACGTAACTATATTTCAATGATGCCGAATTCCCCCTCGCAAATAGCATTTTTACACGGGGAATCTTGGACATTTCTGACTGAAAATCCCCCCGATTTTTCCTCTGATCTTGCACGAAAATCATAAAAATTTTGGACAAAATCGCATTCGTATTTGTATATTTTTGTAAAAGATTGAATAACTTAAGTCAGTTTTGCAACCTCGGAAAAGAGTTACGTTACTTCGCCTGGGAAACGACGTCATGTGGGTAACGTTTCGAATCAAGTAATTTTCCGCACAGTTTACAAGCTCATGAAGACCAAATGTTGGGTTGATTTGCATGAACTTTAACTATCAAGTCCCCGAGCGTCCCCGACTCGATAGTTGGGTGAGCTCCACCCACATTTAGTTTTTTCTCTCCGTCTTAAGACATGTTTTTTTTGGAAAAAATTAGTTAATTAGATTGGTGAAATCATTCAATATTTGCAGCTGCATGTCATTAACAATAAGAGCTTCGGTAAAATGAACCTGGGCGGGTACACGGACTTTATGTTCACTTTTTTTACGTCCACAGACTTTTCGTCCACAATTTGTACGTCCACAGTTCTAAAGCCCACACTATTGTTAAGTCCATTACTTAAACGTCCACTAAGTTAAGTCCACTAAAATCAAATTCAAGCGTCATATTTTAGTCCGTGTGTAAAATTATATTGACAATATCGAAATGAGAAAATTAAGAGAGAATGAGGTGTTGTTATCGTGGCTCATATTTTAAATGAAATGTTAATTTCTTCTTTTGATTCATCTTTTCAAATTGTCTTTGGTAAATACTTGGTTTCATTTCTATCCTTGAAATTTCCGATATAAAATATGCCTTAAATGTACATTCTTTTTTTTTATGAAATTGATTACTTCATTTTAAAAACATTTACATTTTTAAAACGTGGTAAATATTTGTAAAACCTTTTCCAAGCAATTGCATCGATATGAATGTCAATGAGCCGTAGTTGTGATGAAAAAAACTATACAAAAATTAATAAAAGAGGAAAAAAACTAAGAAGCACGCAACTTTTTGTTTTTAACTTATTTGTACATCGACCTCCTTGAGTCAAATACGTCCAATTTTGAGCGTTTAGTTGCGCTTACACCACGCTGCAGCACAGTAAAAGCCCAAAACATAAAATAAATAATTTGAATGGTTTGAAAATCATTAAATTTGACACGGAACCACCATTATATTTACAAAAAACACATTATATTTTCCAGTAGTACATATTTCTTTTTCATCAGTTTAAAAGGGAATAATGAATGCAGAGAGTGCAAACATTTCAAAATCATGAGTTGAAAAACGCTGACTCCGCGAGTTTAAATATTAGAGCCTCACACAGAGCGGAGCGGCGTGTTAGCAGCGCAGAACGCGCACTGGCGCCTACAAACCTAACGGGATACTTTACGCATTGCGCAACGCGTGAAGTATCCTGTTAGGTTTGTAGGCGCCTATGCGCGTGTCACGCTGGTTGCTTGCCGCGCCGCAACGCTTTGAGCAACTATTTCGCGTCAGAGGCGTTGCACAGTATCCTACAAGATTAAAGGCGCACGAAATAACTAGTTGAAGAGGACTTTCAATTTTGACTGCATCTGTTACTGAAAAATGTTTAATTTGGCATTGGAGCGTTTCCTAGGCTCCCGCTTTGGTTTTCATCTTATCATATCCGTACAGTGTACACATGAACATATGTTTTTATCTGCTCTTAGAGTCTGTTCTCTTTCATGACTTGATTCATGAATGAAATGTTTTTAAGAATGAAGGTAATAGTAGTATGCATTTATTTTTGAGGTGGTTCCTGTTATTTAAATAAGAAGAAAAAAATGTGGACATAACATGTCCACAATTTGCACAATTTTGGACGTATTCATGGTTGAACATTAAATCATGTGGACTCAGTAAAGCCTGGACTTAACGTTTAGTGGACATAAATAGCGGGGGACATTTATTTAATGGACGAAAGTTAGGTGGACATAAAGTCCTGGAAGCCCTGGGTGGTCTGTTTTTCATGTAACTATGCAAAATTACAAATGTAACGACGGTAAAACTACCAAACCACGTATCTCGCTTTGCAACGTTGCAGACTTCTTGTCGTACTCTATTTTTTAAACGGAAAACTACTCAACGTCAATTCTTGTGAACTTCCGTGATTTTTCTTCTTTGTGCAAAGAAATCTCAGAGAAAACTTCAAGGAATGATATAGATTTTTTGTTCTCCTTTAAACAGGAAACAGAAGTGGAAATAAAACAGGAGTGTAAATTTTTAGACACCGCAAACGGGATACGTGGTTTAGAAGTTTCACCGCCGATAAAAGAGAGAACAAAAATGAAAATTCTAGGGCTAATTGAATCGGGATGTGCGAAATTCGCTGATGTCCATTTGTCCAGTCTTAAACTTTTTTGAGTTCATAATACTTTTTGGAGTTGGTTGCAGCCACGAAAGTAGCGTTAAAACTTGTCTTCAAGTTTTCTTAATCCCAAAACGAGTCCTTTCATCACTTTTATGATTGTATCAACTCATTAAAGGATTATGAATTAAAAAAAAAAACAAAAAAAAAACAAAAAAAAACAAAACAAAAACAAAAAAAAACGTAAGACTGGGAAAAGAGACATTGGCGGTTTTCGCACGTCCCAGTTCAATTATAGACATAACATAGCTCTGAAAATCAGGAGCAGAGGAGGTTATTGTAAAAACTTCAAGAGATGATATTGGTTTGTTCTCCTTTAAAAAAATTAAATGGGAGTGGAGATTTTTAAACACAGCAAACGAGATGTGTGGTTCAGAAGTCGATGAAAAAATGAAAATTCTGAGGCTAATTACAGTGATAGAATTGCTATGAAAATCAGAAGTAGTTGTGCGAAAAAAAAAATGATGAGAGCTTAGGAGCTGGACGCCGAGGTAGAGGCGCAGAGAGCGTCTCCTCAGGGGCCAAGGGGGGATGTAAGTGTCAAGAGCGAAGAGTGCACTCATCTGCCGCATGGAAGGGGGACCCGTGGGGGCCGGGGGTCGGGGGGGCCCGGGTCGGGGTACGAGGAAGAAAGGAGAGAGATGGCAGGTGTCCACATGAAGCAGTTTGTTTTACACAGTCGGTGAAGGCCAAGGTATTAGCTCAGTCACTCGGTGCTTCCTCTTTCAGCTTACGCGCGCGCGGGTTCGCCGATCCCGGCTTAGTTCCGCCACTTCCGTATCCTCTCGCCACGCGCCTTCCACTCATTCCGCGAGCTTTTCCGCCGTCGGATTTTCACGCAGTTTCCATCGGCTTCACTTTTGTGGCGCGAAAAATCACCGTTGCTCAAGTGTTATTTTTTGGCCGGCCTTCTCATACTGGATTTCCCTCAGTTTCCAAAGATCGTGCAAGTTACGTACTGTCGTCGCTCCATTTGGTTTACTCAAGTTTCAAGTGTCCGTTCCTGAATTTTTGGCGAGGTAAGATTCCAAGACTTCAAACAAATCCGCGTCGGAAAGTTCGTCGATTCTTCAGACCCTTGTGTTTGTCGTTCGGTTTATTCTTGTTTTTTCTTTTATTTATTTATTTTTCGTTTCTTCGTTTTGGGGGCGACGGTTCTATTACGAGGGTGAAATTTTTGGTGATATTTTTTTAAAACTATTTTTTCTTTTGTTGAAAAAATCAGATTTTAACAAACTTTAACTTGTCTTTTGCAAAACTGCAAAATAAGGACGCTGAAATCAATACATACCGAGTGCATTTTAATTGTTCCATATTGTGTGTGTTTCTTTCAAGAATGTACTTTGGCAAATTTTTCTGGTGAAAATTTTATCTACCACGGTGAAATTTCCGGCGTTTTTCTCTTATCTCTTACTCGCATCCATTAAAAAACATTAATAAAAGTGAACTGGAAAAATTAAAAAAAGCAATGTCTTCATAAAATAGACAAATATATCCCAAAACGATAGACGAATAGTCCGAATAGACAGAGTAAATTTTGCTTTTAACGTCTTCAGTGATTAAAATTGTTTGCATCAAGTTAAAATGTATACAGGGATGCATCCTTTCATTATGAGGACGTTCGGCTGATTGTAAGCTATTAAATGGAAAGAGGATAAAAATCGAGGAGAAAAAAAACGCATGACCGTTATAAAATATCAGTAGGAAAAATTTAAAACTCGATAAAAATGTGTGGTTCCATATCATGATAGCTGTTCAATCGTGCTACTCCTTGAAAAATGTAGGACTTTGAATAAAAAGATAAATTAATGATTAAAATTATTTTAAGAGGAAATACCTTTTTTAAAGCAGCTCATAATTACGTAAATTTCTGAAAATAAACAATACGCTGGCGGATACATACTGCAGTATCTTCAGTAAAATTGGCAAGAAAAGGGAGCAAAGGAATCAAATTAAATGATGATGCAAACCCAGGTTGAAAACAATTAATGAGTAAAAGTCAGGATATTTTTTATTTCAAAAAGCTCTTAGAACAATTTTTTGATGCATAGAACTTAACATTAATTGTAAAAAAGTGGTCTTTAACCCAGTTTTATAGTGACACAGAAACCTGTTCTGTTGGGAGAAAAGTCTTAAGTTCAGCGAGACTAAATTAAGACATTTTTTCTGTTACGGAGGCTAGACTCAAAATGATCTACACTAAGAAAAATCTTTGGTTCAACCTCATAGTGTTTTTCATATAGAACACCATTAATGATGGTGAACGATCTGGTAATTTTCGGTCCTTGAACCATGAAAAAGAATATATAGCTTAGTGATGTTCCGTATGCCTTTACGTGGTTCAAAGACCGAAATCACTAGTTCATTTAATTCTATTGGTAGTATTCTTGATGGACAGAAATATGGTTCATGAACCGAAGATTTTCCTCAGAGTGCAGCGATGTTCTGTTAATGTTTATCATTAAAATAACTTGAATGATCAAGATCGTATTCTTAGCGGAATTATCAATTTCACATAAACATTTGAGGAAGAAAGTGGAAAAAATTGAAGAGACACATTTTGTGTTTCACGTTCGGCGTGAAATTGAAAATCAAGGGGGGTTTAAATTTTAAAAGAAAATAACAGAATGCTAGAGTAGTGCTAGGTTCAAAATATTCTGAGGGAGTTCAAAGTCGAAGAGGTACAAAAATTGTTCACGCGTGATCTTCGTATATTATCCTCTAAGCCATTGAAGTGCAAAAAATAATATATTTTGAGATTAAAAGGTAACAGAAACTTTTTTGAGATGTCACAGTACGAGAGATACATAAATTATGGAAATAGTAGGACGAGCAAAAAAAATATTTCCAATTTTAAAGTTTTAAAAAATTTAATAATTTCCCTCTGAGTTTTAATTTTAACGATACTATGGTCATGAGGTTCAATTGGAGTACAGAAAAAAATAGAGAAATCCTTATAAAGAATGACATTCATTTAGTGCATGGATGAGTGACAGTTAAGAAAGAAATTCGGCAAAACTGATAAACAGGCTGTCTCTCTTTGGTGATAAATTGAAGGTGGCAGAAATGTGTGGCCGATTCTGAGTCTAGTTATCTAAATTTCGATGGAGCAGTAGTAGGAGGAAACGCTGGTCGGAGGAAATTTTACGTTTGAGGAGTTCACCTACTTTCATAAAGAGGGTGTCTACTAAAACTTCATTTTGGATTTTCCCGATTTCTCTTGCTATTTTTAAAAAAAAAAAAATAATAAAAAAAAAATCCTGATTTTTTGAGCGAATAAATTGACGCTTGTTTGATCAGCAAATCAACGTATCTGGAGAATTTAATCAAACAATGTTTGGAAAATGCTTGGGATTTCAGAATTTCCTGATCCATGACCAATTTTCCTGATTTATCTTGGTGATATCGAATTCCCTGATATTTTGCGGTTTTCCCGTTTTTACTGATAGTAGACACCCCCGATGAATGAGACGGGAAAAATCGTTTGCGGGTCAACACTGGAAAAAAAGAACACATTGGATCTGGAGTCCAGACTCTTGAAAACATTGACAAGAAAAAATACTCTTGATTCAATCGGATTTTTGCTTGAATCAAAAGGAAATCCACTTAAATTAAGAGGCTTGGTTCTTGATTTAAGCTAGATTCTGATTGAATCAAGAATACTTTTTCTTGTCGATGTTTTTAAGAGTCTGGACTCTAGAACCAATGTGTTTTTTTTTCCAGTGAACAACGGGACCTAATTTTGACAATTATTTTGCGAGAGAGATGTATGACGTAACCGGGCCATAAATCGAAGCGTCAGTGGTGGGTAATTTCCTGTGAGCAGAGCAATTTCAAAGTTTAGGGTCGTTGAACCGATTCCGGTAAACGAGGAATCGGAGCCGGCAGAGCACAGCATGCAAAACGTAGCCGAGCTGGAAACTGGCCTTGACTCGCTTTCGGCCGGCCGACCGGCGCGCCGACGTATATACATGTATCATCGTGAGCAAGAATCCCAGACTCTAATTTGAATAATCCGTCCCCTTCCGGCGAATCCGAGTTCCCAGAGAAGCTTTTCGTCGGAAGGAAAATTTACTTTCGTCCTCACGAGCTGGCTCAGCCCTTGAACTTTTAACCTATTCCTCGGGACGCATTCCATCACTTTTCCGCGTCCGCCGCGCATCCATGTGTAACAGTACAATTCAGAGAATTTTTCGCGGTATTTCCTGTGAAAATGTACAAAATTCTAAAATATGATAAACTTCATTTAGAAATGGGATGATATCCTCGGTTCAAAAACGAGGCAATCTTTATGGAAGTTACACTTTACGAAGAAAAAAACTTCGTGCATGCGACCCAAAGTTGAGGTCATATGGACCTATGAAGTTTTCTGATACTGTCATGGCCTATTGGCCATGACATCACGCATCCGAAAACTTGAGGTCCAGCTGCCGAAGTTCAGGTCAGACAACGAGGCACTTCGGTATGTACCGGAGTACTTCAGATGTGTGACCAGAACCCTTCGGTATATATCGAAGTACTTCAGATGTGTGACCCGAACTTCGGCAGCTGGACCTCAAGTTTTTAGATACGTGATTCATTCCAACGAATCATTCCAATTTTTCGTACTCACAAAAAATTGTTAAAAATGCCGGAAACTCGACACTTCAAACACTATCGCGTACCTAAATCAATACGATGCCCAGTGCATATACTTCGCGAAAGGATTAATAGGTATCCTATAATTTTTCTGGTTATTTATTACGATCAGTTTTGTTTGTCTCCACGTATGTGTATATAATAGAACCGCCACTCCATAGAAAAGCTGCAATACATGAGCTGCATTTCTTGAAAAACAAGAATTCTCTTTGAATGGCCTTCTGGCTCTGTGAGACAATATTTGGAAGAAATTATTAAAACCATAAAAACTCCGTTAGGAATCAGATTTTCTCTCAGATTGGAGTAATCTTGGGTAAATGTAGATTTGTATGATTTTAAGGAGGAGCTTTCCAGAAATAAATAAATAAATAATAGTCTCAGGAGTTTTACGGTACATTCTTCAGAAACTTGACTGTATGATGTAATCGCTTCCAAAAATCAAATTTTATCTCTTTTCTCCTAATTTATTACAACAATAAAAATTCTCTCTCCAAATATATTATTTTCCGGTCTCCACCCCAGTGGGTCCGTTTACGACATCAATCAATTTCCCGTCGAGGAAGGGATGCAAGCGACCCAGATTTAGTGATGTGTATCATCGAGGAGGGTTTTACTATTTTCTCTTCCCCGTTTTCAATCTTCTTCCACGAAACCTAGGTCAGTTATACTTCAAATAATTCCGTACCGTTAACGGGAGGACCGCCCGCCGTAGCTCACGCCGCGTTGATCCACTTGAACTGGACAATTTCAATGTCACTCAAAGGAGGATTTAAAACCCACTTAATTCGTCTTTAAAATTAGATAAAGCGTGAGTACTTCGGACTGGGTCGCTGCTTGAGCCTCTCTCGCCTCGTGTGGAATGTTTGTGTATTTTGGTCAAGGCGTCTAGGGTATAACATTATTATTAATTTTATAACGCTCCAAGATTAAAAAAGAACCATCGAGCTCATGTCGGAAACCCGGTATCAAATGACCGCGTGATATAACAATTTTATAACGATGGCATTCTGATGGATGCACGAAGGCAATAAACTCAGGTATCCACGGAAGGATCAACGCGTTACCTCAACCTCAAAATAGAGTCAGATTATTTTCTTCGTTTATAACAATTGAACTCCGAAGACCCTTAAAACTACTCCATTGAGTCAATCAAAAAATAAACCACTGTGTCCGATATTGCATACACGGAAAAATTTAAATATTCTGAGGGACTTTATTATTGAAACAAAACGGATAAAGCCAATAATTGTGAGAATGCTGGCGGTTCATGACATTAGAATAAATATGTTGTCTTAAATATCAACATAAAATGTCCCTTTACCACTGTGAATAAACTTTTTGGGACCAATATAACCGGAACCTGGAAAAATTGGGGATGACC